TACCCCGACTTACGCGAACCCGGAGTTACGCGATTTTCAAATCTCGTCGATTCATCTTTTGTTTGAGCGCCACGCAACTCTTGATTATTCACTCCCCCCACACTATTGTCCAGCTTACATGTTCGGACGTGTCGCGCGGAATTGACGCATAGCTACAATTTATTTTGTGAAATTTATTTCTGTTTGTTATATCTACGGAGATGTGAGAGACTCTATGTGGTGATTTCTTGTAACCGTGAACGAACCAAATGGCGAGATAAGATTAACGAGAACATTTATTAGCTTACATACATCCTACTTGGATTTTACACAAAGGCATCTCCAATCGTGAACAATTGACAAAAAAAGTATACATTTATCAGATAATAAACAAAGACTCATTTTGTAAACAATTTACCGTTTGTATATACAACTGACAAGATTACCTTTCAAATTATAAACAGACTCAATCCCAAGCGGTCTTTTGATCGTCGGACATACAAAAGAAATGAACAGATGGCGCCTAAATTAAGCGCGGTTTACAATAACGAATACGATTAATCTTAACACTCTACTATGTCATCCAAACGAAGTAGAACTGATTCTTCTGCATCAAAGAAGAAAAGAAAAACTTTATCTTTGGAATGTAAAGTTAACATTATTAAAGACTTCGATACAAAAATGAAAATTTGTGAATTGGCAAAGAAGTTTGATCTACCGGAATCGAGTCAGAACAACTATAAAAGGTAAAGAAAAAATTCTCGAAGCTGTAAAAAATGCTCAATCTTTAAATTCAAGCATCATTCGTAAACGTCACGGTATTATCGCTGAGATGGAAACAATGTTAAAGTTATGGTGTGATAATCAAGTTAATGTGAAAAATTGTATAATAATATAATTTGTTATAAGTATGTATTATCTAAGATTTTATTAAACATTTTTTTCTAAATTATTGTTTTCTTTAGTCTCCGGTCCCAATTAAAAATAATTTGTATGTATTTATATGCAAAATTATACCCCGACTTACGTGAATTCGACTTATGCGGTTATCGCTTGGTCCCACCTATTGCGTAAGTCTGGGGTATGACTGTATAATGAAATTAAATGTATTACCGTCGGCCATGTTTTTATATTTTTTATTTTACTTAAAGTTTTGCTTGTTCAATATGTCTATTTGCAATGAACAATAGTTTTACTGAAACGTAACATGTTCGATACTCGTTTAATTCTTTAGTACTTTTTAGTACTAAAACAAGTATTAAACAAGTATCGAACTTGTTACGTTTTAGTAACTTTAGATCTGGCAAAACTAGATATTTGTTGAGTTCGCCCCATTACTACCAATTTTTAATTGACTTTGATGCATGAATGGCAGCATTATCCTATTGGAATTGCCAATTTTCTCTCCCAATAAGTGATCCAAAAGTTATTAAATTTTCATACAACAGTTCTTGATACAATGGAAACGGGGGCTTAAAACTGAAAACAAAAGCCGTAGTCTCTAAGTCCAAAAAAATGAATTGCCTCGCTTTGATTTAGAGAAAATTGATGTAGATACACCGTAAATATATATATAACAAACTTATTTCATTAGTAAAAGTGCTTAGTTGCAAAATAATTCATTTTTATTGTTTGGGCTACAAACAGTTCAAATCCACTACTTTGGGAGCACAACTATGTTACTTTTTAACCTTCAGATCTGACAACGCTGCTTCTGACCTGGTTTAGCACAATCTCTCAGACATGCTTTTCTTTTGTGGTTTATGAGTAATATGATGTTGTGTGCTTCTTTTTGATTTGGATTTCAGAGATGATTCACCAGCCTGCAAACTATGAATGAAATAACATCATTTTTTGAGAGACTTGCAGGTCTTGAACAGCAAGCAGAGAAACCCACCTTACCTGTATAGGTGGCTGGAGAACATAAGTGCTATAGAGAATTATTATATATATATTATTTTGGAGAGAATTAAGGAAAAAATATGATTTTAAATTTCTCCTAATGACACAACTTACTCAGGACTGCATAGAAAACTTATTCTCTATTGTTTTCCTTAGAAGTGGTAACAATTACATCCAACTCTTTTTTTACACAGTATGTTCCTCAAAACATAAAGCAAAAAACAGATATGTTTCCTATAGTAAAATGGGAGATACATTCAAAGTTATTAAAAAAACTATGTAAGATGAAATAAATAACTATATTTCGTTCAAAAAAACCATGTAAAAAAGTGACAAGAAATTTTCTTCCAGTATAGACCTGTTTTGTCAGTATTGAAAATCTGGTCAAGAATATAGCCACCCTCTCTTATTATTTTGGCTAGTTTTTCTAGAAACATCTTGGCAACATTTTCATTTGCAGATGCAATTTCTCCTTTAATTTTTTCATACATTTTTTTTAAGAATCCTGTCAGCCATCCTTTTCCAGCAAAAAAATTTTTTTTTACCTTAAGTTGCTTAAAGACTTGTTGATGGTTCTGATTCCCATAGTTTTGTTTTTTGAAATTTGCAGTGCCTTCTGCTTTATAATATTTCCATCCACAAGTATCTTCTTTTGCACCAAATTCTCAATCTGAAGCACTAAAAAAATTTTCAATTTTTTTTAGATTGGAACCCAAATATAAGGAAGTATAGATGCCAAAGCTGGAAACTCATGTGTTATGTATTTTTGCATTACAATAAAATTAATAAGAAAATAAGCATATTTCAGCAATATAATAAAATTGCAAACAAGTGCTTAAAAGTTGTTACAAATTATAATAAGTGAGTGCAAAAAAGAAAAGAAAGAGGAAACTGTACTAACAATAAATAAAATAGAATTAATTGAAGTCAGTTTTTTAAGATTGAGAAAGGGAGAGAAATCACAATTAGATGCTAACAACATCCAAACTCTAAGGTGTAAACATTGTGTTCATTTATTATTGAAAGTTTTGCCTAAGCTGTGATAATTGTTCTAGAAACCTAAGAGATTAGTTTCATGTTCCAAAATTAAAATCAGTTTATGACATTATACTACCATTTTTTTTTGTTTGAGGCCC